GATGATTTCTGTGCTGTAGGACAGAGAAAAGCTCCCATGGAGAAGCCAGGAACAAGCCTTGAACAGGCCAACTTCAGGTCATGGGGATGAAAAAATCACACCAATCATGAACAGCTACAGGGAGCAAAGTTGTCTACCTGCTCTTCTGGTGTCCAAACTCAACTGGGGAAACATAAAAATTGCCTAAAGAAGTTGCCTTGCAGGGCATCAGATAGACAACTGGAGTTTCCATTGATTTTAGGCAGTCCCCAAGTCATCCTCACTGCTTGTCAAAGTCTTAAACTTTGCTGTTGTTTGGCTGCAGCTGGGGGCCTGAAGTTACAACATGCAGGAGGTCAGAGCTCCTCAAACAGAAGCAGGAACTGTGATCCCACAAGTAGGGCTCCAGACAGACAAGCACAGAAGACGTGAAGTCAGGGGATCACATCAGCTGCTAAGATCCAACCAAAACTAGTCTCTCAGCCTGAACCATCCTCACCTTGAAGGTTTGTAACACTCCCTGCAGTGGAGCACAAACCTCTGAGTTGTCAACAAGCAAGAATTATCAGAGCTACTTCAGGTATCAAGTTGAAGCAGGCAGCGGAACCACTGCCTAAACAGCCCATTTCCAGGCTTTTCCTTATCTTCAATGAACCCTGAAATTATTGTCAAACTAACTGAGTACTCTGGTAAGACTATATAGGAGAGGTTAATAGAGAACGAGCTCCTGCTAGCTCTTCAAGTTATAAACACAGTATTTTTACAAAGACCCTGGAGAAAACTGGTTGTGCCTCCTTTCAGAAAGGACTTGCCCTGGGGTGATACGGGCATAAACACACCATTGCTTACCCACCAGGAGAAATGCTGCTTCCACTTCCTCCAGGCTCAAGCAAGGGAAGGCCTCTTTGACATATCTAGAAATAGGTGGGGAACCTCAGGCAGGAAATGACCCATCACAGCCAAGATATGAGTCAGAAAAGCCTCTGTGGTCAGCCATGACTGGAGGTGCTAGGTTAGTCCAGTATTGCCAGCCAGCTCCTCAAAGGCCGGCACACATGCAGGCAGCTCCCCATCTGGATGTCTTTGCAAGATGACAGTAAACAACTTGGGCCCATGGCAAGATGTGTCAGAATGACCAGAGCAGTACTTGGAGCACATCTAGTATTTAAGACTTCCTCCTCCTCTACCATTCTGCGAATGTGATTGAAACCTCTCACAGATGTATGCCAGACAGACAGCTATGTAAAGAGGGTGGACAGCAAAGATTCAGGCTCTTTAGCTGCTTCTCCCTTAAAGCTTCTCTGAAGGGGACATCAGTCCTGGGAAATTTGTAAGAAGCAAAAGACAATACCGAAGCAACCATCAATGCTGCTGGAAAGCTATTGCTTTTGTGAAGCAGGCAGGACCTCTGAGGGAGGCCGGGGAAGCATCGTGGTTAATCTCAGGCACTAACATGATGGTAGTATGTGAGGTACCTCTTACTGTTTTACTGGTTATGGGACCTTCAGGGAAGGCTAATTTTGAAGACTGTGACCCAAAACACACAGTTGTCTATCCTGAACTCGCCACAATCTTACTTCACACTCTCCATCTTGCGCTAGCATTCCTGTCCCCTACACCAAGCAGGTAGGTCCCAATGACGTCACATAGCTTGTATGAATGAGGAGCTTTTCCTGGTGTTGAGCAGAAGTGAAAGCGGAAACTTTTTTCCCCCCTTTACCTATTAGTGCTAGATTAAGACAGAGTTTTGAGATGAAAGAACCTACAAATTACCAAAGTATTAGACTGCTTTTGAAAAAACCTCTTAAAACAGCATCTGACCTCTGAGCCCCGTAATAGCCATTACACAGCCCCATTTTTTTGGCTTGTCCTAAGCCACGTCTTCCAGTTCAAGCCTCTACTGTGGTCTTTCCCCATGCCATTGAGTGTTTCAAAGCACTTGGTATAATTGCACAAGCACACACTTCAGCTGGCACACTCACCTGTTCTGCGCTGGAAGCTATTCCTGCTCTCCTAAAAGACCCCAGGGAAAAGTCATCTCCCCTCCAAGAAGTCCTTCTTTCAGGCATGTCGTCACAGGGTCTAACACATTAGTATCTTATTGAACACCACACTGGGAATAAAACAACTTCTGTCAGCTCATTACTAACTCTCGGGATGCCTGCTGCGTGCTGCACTCTTGTATTTCAACACCAAAAGAGAGAAGAGGGGTTATAATGACAATCCGGTGAATGCTGCAAGGACAGATGTTCCTGGAAAACACTGTCATTATTCTTCAGCTCAATCATTTATTCAGCTGCAAACTCCTCTCCATTCCCATCTCTGCATTCCACATTGCAGAGAGTGCTTTAGATTGTCATGCAAGTTGACTCCTTTTTAATACTTCCTTTAATACAGGAAATTAAGTGCTAACCACACCAACACTTAAAATGTCAGACCACAAAGTTAACTACTTAACCTGTACCAACTATTTCTACTTATGGCAGATCAGCAGCTTGCACATGAATTGTGAAGATTCAGCCTTCTGCTGACATACAATAATGAAAATGTAACTTCCCCAGCTGCTTAAAAGATATTGCTGGATTGAGAAGAAATACTGGATTGAGAAGAAATACTACTCTGTAGCCTAAATATTACTAAATTCAGCAAATTTTGGGAATCCCTCTCAACCCTACACTGCAGGCACCACAGTTATCTTTAACCAGGTCCCAGTTTACTGTTTTTTACTACCGCTCTCCCCAGTGAGCCTAGGACAAGCTGCAGAGACAAAGCGTGACAAAGGATGGTGCACTTAGACTGCCCAAGGCCACTCTATAGGTCAGAGGCAGCAAGCTGGGCAATGAGAAGAGCAAAGGTGGGCTCTAAAGTATAACTTTTGCAGAGAGAGGATTATGCCAGAACCAGACAAAACTTCACTCAAAACAAAGGTGACTCCTGTTTAAAATCCACTGTTAAGTGTTACTCTTGTGTGCAGAAGTGCGATGCACTGCAGCACAAGGCAGCAAAGCAGGTCATGAGCAAAGAAGCTGGAGCAGCTTTAAAGCTGCAGCCTGAGCCAGCCATTAAGAACAAGACCTGCAGCAATAGCTGCACTGCCATGGCAGAAATCTTTCAATAAGCCACAAAACAATGTACAGTCCCAACTGCAGAAGTATAGACTGGGAACGAACACACTACACTCTCCAAACTGGCAAAATCTGCATTTAATTTACAACATAGTAAAGGTTACAGGTAAAAAGCTCAACAGAAAGTGTGAAAAGGCCTATTACATATTACACAAGTGTACAAACTTCTGTACAAAGCCCCTAGATGTTACACTGTCCCCTCCTGTACTGGCCAGCTATGGCCCCTAAGCTCTAAAATAATGAGAGCTTGTTCAAACCCAGGGAGGAGAAGAGCTTTAAAAAACAATGAGCAGTAAAGCTTCCCTTTTCAAGAAAAATCTTGCAAAGAGCCACTTGCAAAAAACCAAAACAACACCGCCCCCCCCCCCAAAAAAAAAAAAACAACCCACAAACAACCCCAAAACAGAAAAAAAAGGAAGAAGAAAACCTGTTCAACTTTTACTTGCCCTAACTAGTCTTACCCTAAAGAGTTGCCTTCATAAAGCAGACTGGCTGGAAAAAGAAAGTTTTACATACCAGAAAGAAGCAAAACTAAAAATAAAGGGAGAAAAATTTTAAGAGTCAGCATGGAGTGTTTGGAAGCAGAATGTCTGAGGACTGAATCATACTCAATAGCAACTAAACACAGAGCGGCACAACTATATCATGGAGAAGGTACTGTATTCATCCATATAATAGTTTGAGCTAGATATGATGATGCAGGGAGGGGAACAAACCAGTCTCTGAAGCCATCGCTCTTGTAAATGGGGTAGCTACTAGCTATCAATAACATGATAGAAGCAATCACTCTGCAGTCGCAGAAGTCACACTGATTTTGGAGCATCTGTCCAAAACAGGTCTAGTGCATACAGCACACAGATGCACTATAACACAGCACTGCTCCAGCAACCATCAGATTTTCACAACACTACTTAGCCAGGTAGTACTGTACACAGTGAACAGCTGGGTATACTAGTGTCATTTTAGTGCACGTTTCCTGGAAGAATCCCCCAAACAACAAAGGAATGTGACTACGTAGCTGAAGTGAATTATAGAATGTAAAGAAATACAGAGTATATTAAGAAAAACAGAGCTCTGGCCTTACCTTGTATAAAGTAAAGATACAGTGTCTGAATACACAGGAATCAGATTTTGAAATCTAAAATCAAGGATTTGAAGGGCTAGAGCAACAATCCAGATCAAGCTTCTCATTTTATTCAATGGGAAAAAGTGATGAAGTAGTCAAAAAATGTAATATTGTTAAACCAACTTGTGCACTGCTTTATTCAAGGCGAGGCAGATTCTCTACTGAGAATTCATATTCTAGCTTTAAGTAGCACTCAATTCTCACCCACTGTTCCTAGCAGTCAGAATAGCGTGCAGATTGTGGTTTTAGTTGTTAAACATGCAAGTCCTCTGACACTGCTGATGGCTGCTCATTTTTATGTGTGTCTTGTTGCATCTCACATATACTCTAAACTCACAAGTTCCATTTGCAAATAAAAATGAAACTGTTTAAGTAAAAAGGGCCACCAAGTTTAAAAGAAATTCTCCTCTGTGTTAACTCCACCTTAAGTTATCACAGAGGACAAAGTCAACACTACTTTGTTGTTTATTGTTTGTACAGTGTAGATAGTGCCTATCCACCAGCCAAACGCTCCTACGCTTGTATGATGCCATTAGCACCAACACAAGCTCAGATGCATGTGTACGCCCCTTTATCCATCCACACAGCACTCCATCGTACAATACTGGACCACAGCTAAGGAAGCCCACCTATTTCTTGTCCATCTCAACTCCACGTTCTCATTAACTATTGGGATGCTGTAGTGTTTTAGGTGGAAATTAAAACAAGCTGTAGCCAAACAAAACAAAAGATAATGCCCCACACTGGTGGGGTTTTGAAAATGTAAAAAATAAAAGCTGACCTATATTTTGCAAGTTTTAGAACTCATACCAATGGGATTTCTGAAAGGCTTGGCCCCACAAATATTTACTTCTGATACAGGTGACCTGCTATGAGCGAGTCCAGCAGGAACAACATTACTCATAGTAAGCACGACACCTAAATACATGAATTTGAAGGGTCATGCCATAAATGATAATTAAATTGTATGACTCTGCCCCTTCAACTTACGGATCAAAATTCAGAGTAAAGACCTCTGGGGACAGTAATGGCTAAGAAAAGGCTGCCAGGTATTTTGGTTCAAAAGGATATGGGAGCTGTATTTTTTTTTTCTTTTAAACAGACATATAAAAACGTTTGAAGACAGATCTTTAAAGGATGTTTCACTTCTCCAATCTTGGTATTACATCTGGTTAGGACACTGAAATTTTAAAAAGACGATACTGCACATAAACAGTTTCTGGAGTTCGTAACTCCCACCCTCCCTCAACAAAACCCAACTCAGATCAGTAGGGAAGGGGTTGGCTTCTTGCCCGGCCATGCCTCCTTTGCGTATTTCTTCTTCTTGGGTTCATTCACAGCTTCAGGATTAAAGACAGCAGGGTTTGGAGCTGGGTTCATGTTAACTGTTGAGGGCACAACAGGAGTCAAGTCCACATCTGGGGCAAGATTGGGGTAGGGCATTGGCAGACCACCAATGAGTGCTGTCCCATGGACGCCATGCGATTGGGAACCTGCCTCATTGTGAGTTGGGGGTAAACCACCATATAATCCTCCACTGTAAATTGCATACGTCGTGATGCAGAATCATCTGTGGTCAATGAGCCTGGATTCTCCAACCGTTTTTTCTGTAGATGGAAGTATTTAAAGGATTATTCAAAATACATGAAACAAGCAAGCTATTTAAACTGCATGCCAATGTCATTTTCCCCAAAAAGGCACACAGACCAGCCTCATATAAAGTGGTTACAGACCACATCCCAGTCTTTGTCCCAGAAGATTTCCTCTGGGTTTCCTTGAAAACCACTTAATAAACTCTTAAAGGTGCACAATGCAGGAAGGGATGACAGAAGTTGAAGCTCAGGTTTAACTTAAATCAGGTCTGAGCACCTCTTTACCTCCTGTACATGCTTGCAAGTCTTGAGCTTGTCCTGAATGCAAGACCAAGTAGGTCTTTAGTCAGTAACACCGACCCTCCTTCCCGCCACAGTAAGAAACCGCAACTTCTAGAACACTTGAGTGATTTTGTCTAGCTCTTGATCATTTGAATCTTCTCCTGCAGTCTGGAGTTTATGTAGAATTATCCTTTTCCACATACATTATTTAGTGTATACCAGCAAAAAGTGAAATTGCTATTACACTGTTACTTAGCTACCCTGAAGTTTTGCAAACCTTCCCTACTCCTAGCATATTCAAATCAAACATAGCACTGGCAACACACTCATCTTGGAGCAAAGTCTAAATCCTGCTAGTTCTAGTAGACAACCTTATGAAATCTTTAACACTTAAGAGTATTTAAACAAACAACCTCTTATTTTTACTTTTTATTTTCCACACTTCCCACAATTTTAACTGATGCCTAGAACTACCATACTGAATTTCTGGAAAGTGTTTCTTTTTGGGAGGCAAAAACATTGCCATTGATCCCATGTGTTATTAAAGAAAAGAGCTAAAGCTGGATTTGAAGGGAAATGGTCAAATCTGCTAAAAAAAGACAATTGTGAAACATGAACATGACTTTTGCTTAACAATAAAACACTTCCCACCACAGAACATTATGTTTCTAAGGTGTAATTCATAAAGCAAGTTCATCAATGTAATGTATTAATTAGAAAGTTGGGAGTTATTCTGTACCTTAACAGGGACTACTGCTGTCTGTACCATGTTCCTGAAACGCCCAACAGAAGGGTCCACATCCTCTGTAAAGGCAAAACCAGTGAGGCTTTCAGTAAGAATACAGGAAAAGATAGAACATCTGTCAGGTGAAGGAACCTACACGAAGAATCGGCACATGGACCTTCTCTTCTCAAAGCCAGCGCTCTAGTAGCTCTCAGTACAAGCACGGCCAAATAAAGAGAGGAGCTAAGGGGACACCTAGTGGCTTTGTCTCAAGGTGGGCTCATCAGATACTCTGGTAAGAAAGGCTTCCCCGCAAATGGAGAATGGGGAAAAGGGACAGATGGATGGCCAGTGTGCACTGACCAGGGAGACTGAAGTGCTGGGCTGAAAGCTGCTGCTGACAAGGCACTGCACGTGCTCAAAGGCACAATAGCTAGCCCCAGAAGTCCTTGGGGGACCTTGAAGGAGGAGTCAGAAGAAAGTCTGAAAGTCTGAAAAAATTACCTTTTTGTAATGTGAAAGACTGCTGTTTACATTAGGATGTTCTGAGCACTAAATTGCATAACCTTATAAATCAAAATGGTTATTCTGGGTGGTATATGCTGCCAAACGAAACTAGCTCCAGACTATATTTTAAAATGCATACTCATTAATAAGCTACTCTTATTAATAGGAATATTATCCATATAAAATATCATTAATAGGAGTGCCATTAACATAAAACAGCTAAGGGAGAAAAATGACTAATTAGGAATTGGATACATCTTCAGAAGCGTTGTTTTGAATGAGAATGACTTGTTTCAGATATGCAGACAAGTAGCAAAAAACCTCTGACCTTGAGACAAATATCCATTAGGCAACAGGTAAGGAAAGCGTTAAGGGACAGATGAAAACCAAACAAGTTCAGTACCCATTTAGATTCTAAAGAAGGCAAAAAATTTAAAACACTTTCCTCCTTTTGGACCCATGAGATCTTTCCAACATCTGACAGAATTTTGAAGAATGAAGCTGAGTGATATCCCTGTCCTGCACAAATCATGCAGTTATTTTACAGGTAGAAGAGAAGAAACAGAGAGAGGTCAAAGACTTAAGCGAGACATGTAGCAGCTTCTCTGAAATAGCAGATCCCAAATATTGACTGCCAAATTTCTGTTCTCCTTATCCATATGCAGCCATGAGGAATCCCTATGAGAATACTAGAAAGAGGGCCTTACAGGCATCAACTAAAGATTAAAGCAAACTACTTACCCGGATTGATGATTTCATCATCATCACTGAATGTCACTCTGGAGTTCTTTCGTTTTCTCTTTGGTCTCTGAATATCCAAGTTCCCTTCCTCAATGGTTAGCGTGGAAATTCTCTTGTTGTGGGCTGTATTAAACTCTGTCAGGTTCTAATGACAAATTTGGAGACGAAATAGTCTGATTTAATCATGTGATCATGCATATCAAAAGACCAGAGCACACTGTTTAGCTTCAAGTTTAGACCCCTAGGAAGAAAGAGTGCTCCAGTGCTGCACAGGTTGCCCAGAGAGGTTGTGGAGTCTCTGTCTGCAGATATTTAGAACTTGACTGAGCACGTTCCTGGGCAACCTGCTCTAGCTGACCCCACTTGAGCAGGGGGGCTGGACTAGATGATCCCGAGAAGTCCCTTCCAACCTCAACAATCCTGTGAATGCCACACACACTGCTTTCTCCCTCATCACTAGCTAACTGTAGGAAACAGGGCAGCATTCACTGTTATCTGGCAAGGGGGAACAGTGTGGGAAATCACCCCTCACCTGGGGTAATGGAGAGCACGTACCCTCTGCAAGCCTTTGTGAGAAGACCATTGGAATAGTAGGATTATTAGGTCACTGATTCTGGGAAGCAGCATGATCAGAGGCTTATCATGGCAGAACAAGATGGTTTGTGTGTATCTGCCAGCAGAAGACACCTCAGACTATCTTCAAGGCCAAGAAATTAAGCACCTGAACCTAAGCAAACAAGTGGGAAATGCTATCTGTTTAGCTGGAAATGCCATCTTGGTACAATGTGCCATTGTACTCACGTCAAGTTCTGTCTCCTCCTCTGGCAGGCCCAGCAAGCCCTTGAGCTCTTCATCTTCACCGCCCATTTTCTCATCTCCTTTAACTGCTGATGGCAGTGTCTGGGGCTTCTCTCGCAGAGTATATGCCCGTGTAGAAGCGCCAAATGAAACCGTGGAGTCGATGGGTATCTGTTGGGGTTTGTGAGGTTCCAAACGGATATGACCCAAGAATGTGCCATGTGCTGAGAACATCAAAATGCAAAGTAGTCTGTTAGTCATCAGCTTGGGCTCACAGTATTCGAGTTCAAGTCTTGAGAAGTTCAGAAACTGTACATGGTTGCTCCAAGATACAAGTCACTGAGGTACTGCTGAAAACGTTAGCTATGTACATTTTACCTACCATCTCACAAGCTAAGACAACACATATCAGAAGTCCTCAAAAAGTCATGCAAATAAATGATAAACACCATTTACTTTCTGGATTCTTGTATGTCCCAACGTACCATGTCTGGAATCATTCCCTCAGTGGAAAAAACAGTATGTCAGGTTTTAGATCTTGGGAAACGACCCTCAGAAGAGAAAGCTTCATTAAAATTGTGAAGGGAAGGCCAAGACACTTTCCTCCTCTCCCTTAGCCTCTTAAGAGTCTAGAAATGTTTTAAACACCAAGTGAAGCAGATGTAAGCTGACTGGAGCAAACATTCCTTTGCTTCTAACCCTTGCCAATCTTTCACTAGGATGCTAATTCAGATTATAGTCATCTATCCACACAGTGCAAACAACAACAAAAAAAGCAAAAAGTGTCTCAAATGTTTAAGCACTGAAGTATCATACTTCTACCTCGTTAAATGTCACACTACTTACTGCTGTTTAGATCTATGAGGAAAACCCTCTTGAGATGTTTGTGATAGACCAAGGCAGCATGGACCCGAGAGCAAGACTGGTGGTCAATGGTAAAATCGCACAGATCAGGATTTCTCCCAAAGAGATAGTATTTCTTCTCATCAATTATGAGTTTCTGAGGTAGAATATCAAACAGAGAAGCATATTAGACTCCTATAATCTTTTGGATCTTCCTGAAAAAATTCAAGAACATGAATAAACAGAGCAAATTCAAAACAAGCATCAACATCTAATCAGTATTTCAGTTTTGTCTGACGCTGTTCAATACAGAAACTCAAATCTTCTCTCTGTAAAATCAGAACAGCTGAATATGGAAGAGTCCCAGTTATTCCCTTCTTTAACAGCCAATAAAAGACAGCCTGGGAAGGACAATAACTCTTCAAAGCACGAGACTGTCTCATACAAGAGATTCTCTCTCACATCTGCTCCCAATGATTTTTACACATTCCTCGAGGCAGATGACCTTGGGCCTTGTCTAAGCCAGGAATCTATGCTAAATGATCTCCAGTCCGATAAAGAACATCGAAATTATATTTCTGTATAGAAATGGACAAACAGGAGATGTCAGACCTTTATAATAAAGATGTAAAGCTATACTGAATATGTATGGTGATATGAATCCACACTAGCCTATTCAAGCCATTAATTTTAGGCATTTCTTCTTAATTCATCCTAGATCTAATCTCTTCTTCAAACAGGATCTTACATACTGTAGTATCAGTTACATAAACCATCTCTGAAAAGCAAAGGAACATGTTGACACAGTCCTACAGTATACACAGCATATTTCTATTAACAGACAATGTTGTTGAAAGGAACTCCTTGCACCTAAATGCTAAAGTACCTAAGCAGTGCAGCCTTCTTTCTCACTGTATCCCAAGATCTTAACCTAACCTGTGTTTTCCTGCTTCCAGTGCACAAGTCAAAGGCTGGTAATGCATTACAGATTTGTTAACAGATGGCTTCTCCTGCTTTTTGAAACATTTACCAAAGCCCACACAACGTTTCAACAGCATGATCAAATGAATGCTGATGATACATTTTTCTATCAGAAAAAACCAGATCTTAGTTCAGGAAAGCATTGCTTTCATGAGATGGTCTGAGCTGAATTAACATTTTGCCTGCTAGAGCACAAGGATTTCTCCCCTCTCCCTCCTTCCATTCCCAGCTATACAATCCCCTCCCCAATTGCACTACCACACATCTGAGCAAAGTTTTCAGCTTGCAAAGCATTTTTTGCTGCGTTAGTCTACTACTGTTTTAGTGGACTGAATCAGTTTGCCTTCAGTCAAATGTGTATCCCAGCTGGCTCTAGTGAAGCAATGGATTATATGCACTAGGACTGTGTGATGAGGAAGGACCTCCCTTCCTGGCAGCAGCATTCATGTCAATCAGTTTGCTCCTCAGTTTTGCCAGCTATATAAATCACATGCTCAGCTAAAGTATCAGAGTAGTTACAGGTAGTTGGTTTGAGGTTTTTTTGAGCTATCAGAAAGACTGACACAATGAGCACCTAGACAGTTACTTATTCTGTAGCACTACCAAGTCATACAGAAAATAAGGAGTCAGCTTGGAATAAGACATAGTATTTATATTCCTCTGACTTATCTGCAAGCATAAAAATCACATGGACCTCATTTTCTACTACAAATCACCTTGCAAAGTTACATCTATTTACCTGCCCACCAATTATGAACTTCAAGGCTTTTAGCACTGCTGCATTCTGAATGATTTTTTTCAGATTTCCCCCCCCCTAGATGTGTTCCACATTTTCTAGGTTGGATTTCTCCTTGTTCTGCTGAACATTTGTCAGCCCCCATGCTGCAAGTTCTCATAATCTGGTATTCAGTAATGAGTATTTAATTTATTTCTGTATGTTTATTCTCTCTTTTAGGTCACTAGAAGAATTAATTGAACAACTCAACTCCATACTAGTATACATCACAACGACTTTACAATTAATTGGTCCCTTAAGTAATAATCTGCTAATGTCTTATTCCCAACTACCCAAGGAATACATTTTAAGCACAATTTCATGAGAGCAAATGCTTTGTGAAATCTACTGGCTTACATATTTTGGCCTCCTTTCTTTATTTTAAGAAAGATTTAGGTGACCAAGCTGTGTGCATATCCATCAGCTCCTGACACCCACTACTAAACCAAGTAACTTCTCAACCAACTGGCCAATTTCAACCAGCGCTACAAGATACTAAATTTCAAGAAGTTCTGGGAAAACAGTTAGATAGAATGACAACTTTATCAGTACCCTCAGTGATACACAGGCTGGCAGAAAATCCACAAGAGCGCCAATACTTAAGACTTTAGCTACAAAACAAACAAACAAAAAAAAATCATCTTTGTGAATCGACATCTCACTTGATAAGACAGGAATCACAGCTTAATTAGCAATTCACCTTCAAGTACATTATCTGGTGACAAATGAGGTGCAAATGCAAAATGCAAGTGATTTTTCTCCAATTGGCACATTTAAAACATGCAGGTGTCTCCTCTGAATCTATTTGTGTCTGGTGGGGAATAGCATACCTCGAAGCCTCAGGATAATTCAGATAAAATCCCCAAGAAATCAATATACTGAAACAGTCTACTGGATTCTACTCCCACCTGGCTACTTTATTATCACTTTCTGTCTCTTACAAATGCTGGTTTTCACAAGACCCTCCCCTCAAAATTAATCAGAAAATACAAGCCACTGATAAAGAGCTTAAACTAGTACATGGTTTCCTCAGTCCTTTCTGGTTGAATATTATTTCACTTTTTTTTTTTTTAAATTCCACCTGTAAATAGATCAATCTCCTCCCTGTACATTTTTCATGCTAGCGTACTTTTGTTATGCTTTTCCCTGCAAGCGTTAACATCTATCATTCCATTAGTCTCACTGATATCTTCCCTTAAGATTACAGTTGTTTCATCCAGCTACTGATCTGTGACTACCATAGTGTTTGTTACAATACATCTTTTGAGAAACGCTGGTTAGGTTTTCTGGGGATTCAACTTCATAGCAATAGATTTATGTCCAATATTACGCAGCACCTTACTCATTCCAATCAGTTCAGCACTCTAAGTCTTCCCAAATTCAGTACCTTTGTATTAATGAATTCTATGATTCCACTTTGTAAGAAAGACCAGCACTAACTTTTCCTTTTATTCTTGTGTATTTGAAAAAACATCCCGTGTAAACACAACTCTGATACAAACAAGTGGATCTTCAGAAGCCGATTCATTACTCCACATTTCAATGCTAAGCTCTGCAAGCAGTTATCTCACGATTTCAAGTGCCATAAAAATAGGCCCAACAATTTCTCATTCTTGTCCACAACTGAAACCAGAAGTGTACCATAAGTTTTCATTTGCACCCATTCCACACAAAACAATACCATTCTGACTTTGACAGCATTTAAAGAGATTTTGCAAAGACACAAACGAATTCATAAATTGGAAATATTGCAAGAAATCATCAACAGAGTAAGTAATTTTATTGCCTTTACTTCAAGACAATGTTTCCAAAATTTTCTGTGCCTCTGAGTTATAACCCGGTGTTATCCTTTATACACTGAGCTTAAACACTTCATGGCTTGTTTTAATGTTGCACTTTTCAGACCCAGCAATCACATGGTGTACCTCAGACCTCTGCACAAGACCTGGGATACGGATGGCTCGGTTAGTATCAAGTGCTCAGTAATCCACAAGATTTAAGAATGTTGTTTCTTGGTTACTGCTGTCTACCATAAGACACAAAACTGAAAAACTATTTGCCATACGTACCAAAAAGGGAAACAGATGGATCACAATGCAATGCTGTTAATTTGTTGCACAGTTCCCATACACAGACACAGTACATTGTCTCATGTAACCACCACAGTGGACTTGGAGGACTTAAGTCATCACCTGTATACAGTGTGCAAGGCCACCAAGCAACTATGCAAGCAGGCATGCATGCTACACGGAACAGTCTGCTAGAACTTCCCCACCAAGCCAGCTCTTCTGATTCTTACTTCAGCAGACAGAAGCACGATAGCAAGACCTCTGTGCTACACACGTAGGTGCCTGTGCCTGGTCACCGCTTGCTACAGCAGTCAGCACACCTATTACACACCGAATGACAGGCAAGCTGTACCTCACTGATCTCAGTAACACCGACAGCCAACATCAGATATTCAGGAGGTGAAACACAAACTCTACAGTCATTCTGTAACCTCTGTGTGGTCACATCCTCTACTGAACCTCGGAGTACTTGGATAGTGGACTAGCAACGTCTCTTAACAGTGCTCTGCACAACAGCAAAAAGAACCACTTTTAGGTTATAAGAGAGTTGATGATAGGAAGAGGGAATCAGGATGTTTGTACCACCCACTTTCCCAATGCGGACACAGACCCCAGGCTTACAAAGCCAACTTGGGCCTCCTGTAGGTCCAAAAGCTTTGGGCAGCCCAGCCTCAGAGTCTAACACCACCAGGACGATACTCCTGACTATCAATTTATCAACACTAAACTTGCTCATCCATTGCCAAAACCAATGGTGCATCCTCAGCTTTCATATGGCATTTTGTTGCTTTTTTTTCCGTCCTGACCAGGACTCCCACGATAGACATTTGCCTAGCACCTGAGGATTAATTCAGCGGAGAGCTCCGTATAAACTCTTTCATCCTAAAGCTCTATCTCTGTGCTCAAAAATCCAGAAAAAACACAACAAGAAAAAACTCCTCTCACAGAATAAGTCTCCTAGGTGGGAAGGCTGCATTATGTTTGGCCACCTGCCACATACCAAAAAAACCCAAAGTCACTGCCATTTGGCTTTGCTCACTGAATCTCATTACGTGGCCTGAAAGAAATACTGGAAAACCCAGTGCCAAGTACAATCCTTTGCCCGATGCTGCTGCTAGGCTGGCAGTGAGAAGGCTGAGCTGAGAAGCAGTCCTACTACAGCTCTCTGATCTCCGAAAATGATTCTGAACATGTAACAGTACCATGAGAAGCAGAATACATGGTCCATGGTTTGAGGACAAATGCAAGGGTTTGAAAGCTATAGTGCCTAGAAAGAGCCAGTTAAGGACAGCTCCAACGAAGTCCGAGTAGCAGCTATGAACCAACTCAGCCATGTCTTGTATGAACTAATGAGCTACTCTGAAGATGCAGTAAATGTGTGTTAGTATCTAATTCCTTTCAAATTAAGGCTGAGCAAAGATCTCTTTTAGGCTGGCTTTGCCATTTTCTGTGTCTTTAAATCCAGAGTAAGAGCACTCTCTCAAAACAGTTTGTAAAACCAGCAGTAATGGACTACAAGGAAAAGCCTCATTTTACTCGTTTCTGGCCCGGGAAAACACAAGTTTATTTGTGAGATACCTATTCGTGACATCTCTATCTGCTTTCCTATGCAAAGTATATTCTGGTAACTTAACCAAATTCTAAACAGTAAATCTCTTCTGCTAGACACCAGAAGGAACACTTAATACTGTCTGATGCTCCTGTGGTAGCATACATAAAAAAATAGCCAAGATTTTAAGCTACCTAAATCTTTCTTGATCTAACACTGAGTTCTTAATTTTCCAAGTTTCTGTTCAGAAAATTGGGCTCAACTTTGCAAACTTTTGCTGCCCAGAAACATTTCTCTGTTTCAGTCACCTGCAAGTCAGGAGTCTCTCCACAGCTAAAATACATGCACTGGCTTGGGTCCTCTCTGTCAACCATGTTAAAGAGCCTTTTTTTTTTTTTATTTATTACTTTTAGTGTGATACAAGACAAAATATGAAATAGAGAATGAAGTGGTATGTATCAGACAAACTCCTTTGCTGTAATAAAAATAACTCATTGTATCTGTGCTAATCACAACACTGTTTGCAGATCCAGAATATGGGATGAAAAATCATACTCTATTTCATGCTGTAGGACAGAGCAACAATCCTGTAAAATACAGGATGCCTAGTTAGCTTTACTGTAAAACAAAATTAAAAATAAACCGACCAGACAAGTATCTCAAACAAGCAGTACAAAGTGAAGAGTTTTTACTCTTACTCTTTTGTATTTGAGATTTCTTTCCCCATGTTATTCGAGTTTCTGCTCCTGAAGTTCCTAAAACAAGGTGCCTTCTGGCTGCAGTCTGATACCTCCTATAAAAGTAACTTGTAGGGAACAAAATGTCAACTTTGGTCCAAAATTAAGTTTGGAAGAAATAAGGTTCTGCAAAGTATCGAGTTTCCCTTACAAACATCTTATTTTTTCTCTCTCTTACTAGGACAGGTTTAATATTTAGGAATCGAAGTGTCATTGTTGACATAGCTGAGCACTGCAGTTTTGCATCCCTTCAAACGGTGCATCTAGTTGGAAGATAACTGATGGAAGCACTGCCTAGTACGAGACAGCCTTAGAGTACAGGCAAGGGAAAATTCACTTCATTCTGAAGTTTCAGAGTAAACCAAACTGATTTGAAAATAATGAATATGAAAGAGAAAGGAAATACTTATGAGTAAGTGAGGAAAATGCTGGGAAACGTTCTACTGCTGGTGCCTATGTATACAATACACCAAATACATACAAAACCTATTTTCATACCTCAATGAGTTTGTCTCCTTTGACTACATCCAGATGTAAGCCAGGTGGCGGTTTCCCTGCCCTGGAAAATAAAGAAAGGAAAATATAATATAAAAACATTTAATAAAAAGTTTATTGGTGTTAGAGCTAATACTCTATTAGAACTACAGACCAAACCTACACAAATGTAAGCAGAATTATTTTGGGGAAAATATGAAAATACCATAATTTTCTCTTCCTCTCTGCAGATTCCTTCTGACAACACATAAAACATGATTTTTTGCAATAAGAGTTAAGCTAACAGGACATGAAGCATTTCAAGCTTTATTTCTCCAGGTGAAAAATAGCTAATTTACAAAGTGAACAGAGCAGCTCCTAAGAGAACATGGTATGAGGCCAGGAAAAGGCTAACAACTAGAGAAGGGGACAGGCTGGGACTGTTTGCTTAAGGGCCTGCTCAAGGGCTCTGTTTTCTCATGTTAGCTTCAAAACAGATCTCTACCCTTAGCTGCTGAGCGAAACGGAAACTTCTACCATCCTTCCGCTCTAGGACTGGTAATGGCAAAAAACTTGAAAGGGGCTCCACACACACCTGTAATATTATAAAAATGTTGGCCAATAGCCAGCTTTCCTCCACACTCACCCTATAATCAAACTTTCCTACCAACTCAGGTAACATGGAAGAGACTATAGTATTAGATGGCAGAGGGACCCCTACCCTACGACAGTACAATCCTCTTCCACCAAATTCTCAAACAAACAGCAACTCAGTTCCCCCAGCCCTATCGCTCCATCCCTGCTCACCTCCTGTGAAGCAGATTCACCAGTCAGACAGCATTATTCCCACTTGGGCAAAGGGAGCACAGAGGCACGTGGGACTCGGCAAGGCACAGCAAAACAATGCTAATAGGCGCGAGAACCCATGAGGATTAGCAGCATCAAAAACATATTTGGTATTTACAGTGCTCAAAACCAGGACACCCGTGTGGTATCAATACGCTGCCCTTCTCTAGATAGGATATTTGGCTGTTGACAGCAAATGATCCTTTTCTGCTCAGATGTCTAAAAATCTGCATCTCTAGTACTTCTTCACTGATAATAGCACTGCTGCTTGTCTCCATGACTGGACCAACTTTCTAGGCGACAGCAGTGACCCAGTTCTCAGCTACACTGCTGCCCTTCTGAAGAACTCCTTCCGCAGAGGAGATCACATTCCCATTTACTGCTTTGCTCGCTGCACAGAACAAGCCAAGAGAACAGTGACAATGGGTAGCGACATTCTCAGCATGGATGGAGAAGAAAGAAAGGTCACTTGTAACTGAAGTTGTTTGAGAGGGTTAAATATAGATGTTCATGTTTCTGGGATGTGCCTTACAATTTGAAGGTTTCTTCTGTGTCCCCAGGTCATCTGGTTACTATACACATGCTCTCCTAGATAACTTCATACAAGAACACAGTCCTCTATTATTTCTACTTCATTTCTTTCTCAAGTATTGCACAAGGATTTTTCATTGTTGCTCCAAATCCATTATACTAGCCTGCTCAGATCTCTTTCTGGCCCTTCTTGAACATGCCAGTTGGGACTTTCACAAGTTTTCTTACCAAGCCCTTCTCTAAGATTGTAGATAGTACCATCCTAACAAAGTAAGATGGGTATGGCTGATATTGCTCATCCAAAAGAATGAGAATCAAACAGCAGCAGCAAAAGCAGAGGATGCAAAGCCCCAGGGCAATCTGCTAAAATGGTGACTGCTTCCTAGAAATGGTATTACAGTGGTGTGGGGGAAAGACCAGCAAGTAAAAATGCTCCCAAAGAAGATACACAGTCTGTCTGATGAGTTCTACAAGTGACTTTTCCAGTCACTCCAGTACAGCTATGGGACTGCCTCCTAAGTTTTGCTCTAGGATCACACAGCCAGGCTACACCTGAGTATTGCTGTCTCTTCCTGTGCTCCCCTCAGATCTCAGCTCTCATTTTTCATTGAAAGACAGGTTTCATTCCTGGATTCATGTCCACTTCTCAGTGTTTCCTCTTTCTGCCCCTGAGCACTGGCAAACTTGTTTTTCTCCATTCCACTGAAATTGCCAAGTTCTAGTTACTCTGCGACACAACTTTTGATAATTTTCACAAAGCCTGCCTTACTTTCATCAAACAAAAGCTGCTTCCCCCACCTTTTTTTTTTCTTCCAAATAGGTAAACCTTTCAACAAATGAACTCTACAAGCAAGCCTACTTACTTACTCAGTCTGGCCTCTGCTTTTCTTTTCAGTGGTCTCTTCCTGGATACTCAACGGTCAGACCGTCCTAAAAACATTTTAGCAACATCCTCAACGTACCTGTTAGGTCACAGGAAAGCTCCCAAGTGCTCTAGCACAACTACTCTCCTCCTCTGTAAACTGAATCCTGTCTGATGGTCATCTTTTGCCATATACAATCTCTGATTTTTCATTATCCCCTCTACTTTTAGTTTCACCCTTGCTGTTATTGTACTCTGCTTTTACCTTCACCTTTGTTTTGAACACAGAACAAAAGCCCAGCAGCAGCACAAGATAGTGCCTTCAGCTATGAATTAAGGTGCTTGAAAAATTTATCTATTCTGTGGCACCTTTTGAACTGAGAATCCTTTGTAGACAGTATTTCCCCCATCTACCTATGCCTACAAAACACTGAACACAGTAGGGCTGTAAATACTGATTACAATACCATCAAAACAAACTAAAAAAAAAAAATTTCTGGTACAGAAATTATTTAGTCTGTCCCTTTGGAACAAACTAAATCAATGTTACAGCTTAGGCTGCTGAAGTTAGATACCTGAAAACTTTTAACGAAAAAAGTAGAAAGATCTTCCAGTTCTATATTGAAAACTAATTAGTTCCAGAGTCACCAAAGATCAGAAGTAATGGCTGTATTTGGCAGTATCAACAACCGCCCACATGCTCTGCCCTACCAGACCCCTCACCTCATACATCAAGGAAATAAAACATTGAAAGGAAATCTCTTGCAAAAATCTAGAAGAAAGTTTGTTAGAAAGTTGGTACTGTGCTGTTAAAGGAGAGCAGTTTTTTCCCCTCTTACTTCCAATATTAAAAAAAAGTCCTCTCCCACTAACTAATGTGCTAAAATATCCACTAAATTAGTCTCCCTACACTGTTCTGAAGGATGGAGAATTACTTGAGGCCACAGACTCTCCTCTCCATAGAACACATACAGACAGCAAGGCTTAGCACTGCTCCAAGACAAATGATCTCACATCAGAACTTGGCTCCAGCACAAGTGCTTGCGTTTGAAAGAGAAACAAGAAGCTGCTCTGTACCTTAGATTGCGTATCACAGTCCCCACTGCCTGAACGTCTTCTGCTCCCTTTAGGTCAGCATTCTGCAAGTGACCTTAAAATAAGACCTGTGAATCGACTCATTGTTAATGATCGCTAGTTCAGTAAGTTTAACTGAGACAAAGTATGCTTAGACTGCCTACTGAATCGCCAAAGGCTTACTTGGGAGAAAAGAAGCCTTACAGAGAATTAATGAGGCTGATTGGCAAGGAGAACATGACCATAACAGTATCATTAAATGAATTCTCTGGATCAGAGAAGAGGTGAGAGGACATCCCACACTAGAGATTTTCTTCACTAAGAATGAGTCCAAGGAACTCAAAGAAGTGTCAGAATGAGAAAGTTTTTGAGAATTGAGAAAAAGAAGTAACAAACTGCAAACTCCAGATGGTATTTAGCCAAGCATTTTAAGAGACACAAAATAGAAGTTTTCTACACTTAACAGTTTAGCAATCTATTGCTTAAACTACCCTCACTATCAGATAAATGAAAGTATCAACTGATGATGCCAATTTTAAAGCATATTTCAGGAGTGACGTGGAAACTACATACAGTAAAGTTCTGACTGCGAAACTGGTAGAATAGAAGAGAATATTAAATTTCAGTTGGAAGGGACCTACAAAGATCACCTAGGCCCTCTGCCTGACCACTT